AATTTACTTTGATAGTAGATACTTTTGTTGGTAGTTGGAGTGATTGGCAGCTTCAAGCTGTTCTGTTTAATTGCCTTTACACTTTGCAAAATTCTATGTTTGGAAGACATTGTTTCACAAATAAATAAAGTGTGTAGAGGGGGGTGTGTGTGTGTGTATATGTGTATGTGCAAGAGAGACAACTGGAGAAAGAAAGAATTTCTTCAATCAGATGCACTACCCATTCTGTTTTGCTTTTATGTGTATCTCCTTTAACTGTGCATTGGTTTGTTTCTATCTCTTTCTCAGTTCCTCTCTAATGGAGCAATATGGTGTTGATTTGGGTTAGGACTATATGTAGAATCCTATTAATTTCACAGGAAGCAGGGGATATGATGGAGTCTTAGGAAAAAGTAAGGAAGAATGGGCTAGAGTACATCCAAAGTTCATAATTTCTTTTTTCATAAAGGGAAAACAAAAATACACATAAAGAAAAAAAAAGGTCTGCGTTGTATTCTTTGTTTTTCTGTGGTTTATCCTTTGGACTAGTTCTTAGAGGATATTTTTCAGATTTTATTTCAAGTCTTAATTAAATTATTTTATCTCCCTCTTATTTCAGACCACAATATATGGATCCTTTGGAAAGTTTATTTTTGTTTTGTGTTTTACTGGCAAAGGGAAGGGAATTCTGTTTTATTTATATAAGTAAGAGTTTGGAAGGGAGAGACAGTGTCTACAGCACATGAGCAACTGCTGCCCAAGTCTGTAAAGAGTTGGTGCAAACAAGCAATTTGAAAACTCAATGTCTAGTGACATCTTCACATCTCAAATTAACCAAGACAGCTCTGAATTTCCTATTAATTTTATTTCCTGAAATTATAACAGGATGTTCAAAAGATGTTTATTTCAGTAGTGACACTATTTTTCTTTGATTAGCAAACCTGAACAGTTTTAGAAATTTCATAAGCAGTTTTAGGGGTCTCATGAATAAATAAGCATACATTTTAAATGGAAACATTTCTAAAAATGCTGTATAAAAATGTATTTTTCTTTACACACAAGTACAGAAGTTCTCTGCAGTGAGGTATAATGGTCAGATGAAGTTATGCTACATGGTTTTGTGTTCTGAAAATATGATAAAAACATTGCATAGCAAAGATCCAAGACCTTTAAGCAAGCAAGGATTTCAGAAAATGTTGTTTCCCCATCTCAGGTTTAATTGTACAGAATATTAATAGTTCAGGCTAATGCTCAGCAGCTCACTTTCTTTTTAACATCTTCATTAAAGCTGTTAAAATATTTTAAGTACATTCTTTCCCTATAATTTTCCTACAGAAAGAAGTAAAATAGGATAAAGAAACTCACTGGAATACCACTCAGCAGATTCCTTAAATAAGATACATAAAAGACTGTGTATTTTCCTTTAAAGTCTTGTCTTAATTTGGGACTATGGGCATGTTTTATATGTTTTACATGTTTAGTATGTGGATGCTGAATACCAGAGTGGACAGATTGTGTGCTCTTTAGTTAAAAGGGGTTGTGTAGTGTATTCTACTGTATTAGTTTTATCTGATGATGCAAGTAAATTAGTAAATCAGAAAGGGGAAAGATGGAATAAGAAATAAATATGCTAACAAAAATCAGAATTGGAAAAATTAGTTCACAGTTGACACAGAGTTTTTTTCCATTAGGGAGTCTCTTTAATAAATCTCAGTTACTACCATGTACTGATATCACACATGGAAAAATAATAAAACAGAGGCTGATCAGTGCAACTGTGCGCATTCAAATAATCTTACATGAACCAGTTCAGAAGTTTACTTTAGAAAAGCTATGCACAACGAGTACTCATTTTTTTCAAAACACACCAACATGTCTAAGTAATTCTGACATATTTAGGGTATTTCCCTTCTCATCACCCCTCAACCATCTTCCAGACTCAATAGACAAATGAGGTGAGGTGAAAGCCAATGACATAACAGAACATACATAGCATGCATAATATATTGCATTAGTGTCCTCTGCATAACATTATAAAGCTGTGGATGTCTATTGGACAAAGAAATAAACAACAAACATGTTTTTTCCCACAGTGAAACAGCAGAGTAAAAACACAAACTGCTCATACAAATATTATCACCACAGACATATCTTACTATCCAGCTATATAACTGAAAATATTTTGATCTATATGACTCTAGTGGCCTTGATCCAAAGCTTATTGAAGCCAATTAAGAATCTCGATCATCTTCAGTGATTCAACCTAGCCCATTAAAAGATTTTGCTCTAGGGGAGTAAATGGAGGGTTTTTAAGGGCCACCCTTGCATGTCACTTCCATTTATCACAAAGGAAAAATACTTCCCTCCATTAACACTATATAAGGCAGTTTCCTTTTCCAGTAACTCTACTGTATGTGTCAAACTCTTTCCCTCAGCTCTCTGCTGATCCCTTATACCAAAGATGACTGCAAATATAACGTAATATTACTTCTCAAAACAGTGCTTAGGAAGTCAGTGTTTCCAGAACTCATTCACATAATTTTTCCCTGCTGCAAAGCTCATGTGGGTAGTTTATGAATGACAACAGCTAAATTAAAAGTTATCCTATCTGAATGGGCTAAAAGACTGGCAAAACTCAGGAAACTATAAGCTAAATAGAAGTGACAGTTATAGTCACCTTTCATGTAAAAAAATCTGTAAACTATTTCCTGTTGTGTCCCATTTCAGAGCTCGAATGTACTGCAAGGATCAGGAGTGGATTAGGAAGCTAAAACACTTCTTCATTTCTTTCATGGGTGTACAAACATAATACAGGGCATGGACTTTTTACCTCTTGTTGATTTAGCCTAATAAGTTCTGAGTTTTTAATTGCACACAGTTCCCTAAGTAGTAAAACCCAACATTACATTATATTGCAATATATATATATTGCTAAATATGCATTACGAAGAGAGTCTTTAATTTTAAAAAAACACTGTCTATATACAGTTCTGCAAATATATCCTTATGAATGTGTTTTCCGTGTTTTATCTGACTGCATGCAGAAAAGCTTTTTCTGATAAGTTTAATATTGGTGTGAGTTAGGAACAAAAACAGGTATTGCCTTCTCATCCACAACAAGTCAGTCTCTGGTTCTTGCAGTCGTCTGCAATACTTCTCTATACAATGGCGCCTTTTCTGACTCAGGTGGTAACAACCAGGAGCCTACAGTAATCTCTGATCCATATGATGCATACGGAATTGGCTGATGTAGATGATGCATATGGTCCATATGGGGATCAAACCTACAACCTCAGTGTTATTAGCACTATGCTCTAACCAACTGAAATAATTTCAGGATTGTTCAGCCTGGAAATGAGAAGGCCTCAGAATGACCTAATTGCAGCCTTCCAATACTTGAAGGGAGACAACAAGATGGAGAGCGACCTTTTACAAAGGCATGTACTGACAGGACAAGGGGGAATGGTTTCAAACTGAAAGAGAGTAGATTTAGATTAGATGTTAGGAAAAATTCCTTATTGTGAGGGTAGTGAGACCATGGAACACGTTGCCCAGAGAAGATGGCGATGTCCCATCCCTGGAAGTGTTCAAGTAGAGGTTGGATGGGACTCTGAGCAACCTGGTCAAGTGAAAGGTGTCTCTGCCCATGTGGCATGATGACTAGATGATCTTTATGGTCCCTTCCAATCCAAACCATTCTACAGTTCTATGATTCTATGAAGAAGATTGTGAGGATTTACAGATTGATCTTAACACACCTATGCACTTCCAAGAAGATATGCTTTCAGAAACAAATTCTCCAGAACTTTCACACTTTTGAAATCCTGGTAGACATCTTTCTTAAAACACAATCCTGAATTTTTCTTTTCCCTAGTGCAATGGTCAGTTGAATAGGAAGCCAAATATTAATCCGTATTGCTCCCACTTCATGTGCTGCAACATCTTTGAACCTACTGGAGATGTCACACTCCCAACTGGAGCACCTGCAGACAGAGGTGTTGTGTGGTAACATCCCTGCCTTACCTCTCACCTAGCAGAGGTACAAGGGACACTGCCCGTCCACACAGAACACAGGTATATGTTTTGGCAAATCCATGTAGGAAGTGAAAAATCATAAAATTTTCCAAAATTTTCCAAAAAATCATCTCCTAGGTTGTACATGTTTGAAGCTTTTCTTTATTTGGGGGGAAAAAAAAAAGCGCCTCTATTTTTATAGCATTTCAGGAAAACATTTTAGCCACCTCTTCTGCTTTTGGGTAGTTTCTGCAGATAGTAGAATACAGTATACAATATATAAGTATATATATAATAAATTTATATGAAATTTAAATACAATTATTACTGTCTTCTAAAGAATAAATATGTCAAGCATCAAAAAAACATTCTAGGCCTACTGTGCTTCAGTTTGAGTAAAAATGCCATTTGTTCCTCTTCAATGAATATTTGAGGAAATAAAATGACACACCTGTTAAATTAGCACATTTAATGTGCACCAAAGCTGTTCATTTGTACAGTAAATAAGTTAAAAACTTGATTCTTATATAATCCACTGTTCAATCTGACTGACTGCTGAACCTCCCTAATCAAATACTTCTACATGATATTGAAAGCTACATTACAGTACATTATTAGCTTGTAAAATGAAATTGCTGCAACATTATGTACTGTATATTTGAAGCAGTAACAAATTTATCGGTGATAGATGAGCTAATGGATGCATTGTATTGCAATAAATATAAATTCAGAGTAGCAATTGGAAAACATTAACATTTTTATATATGAGTTTAGGCATTTATGAGGCTGATCCAGCTAGCAGTAAAAACTAAAAAGGTGTTCTTGCTAGCTGCCATTTCTGCATTGGACTGTCACAAGTAAAAATAAGTGGTCTTTCTTTGCAGCAGGGCTTTTATATCCAACATAACAGACAACTGACAGAGTTTTGGTAAGTAACTATCATTCATTTCTCTAAGAAAAAGTTCTCTGTATACCTGATCAGGAGGTCAAAGCCAGACACTACTTACCCGTAATTTTCCATGGCCTTGCTATCAGTTTCTTCTTCTGCCCAACACCCCCTCCAGTCTTTCTCTCCCAGTTTCCTCTTGAGCTCCTAATGCGTCATGAACTATCCAACAACTTCTGCTGTTTAAAAGAAGCAAAGTCATTTCAGGAGAAGAGTCAAAAATAAAGTGAAAAAGACAGAAAACAGCAGCCAGCTGCAAATGCTGTGAGGAAGACTGGGGACTTCTTTCCTGATATCCAGGCATCTTTCATAGAAATATTTGAGAGAATTGGTCCCCTATGGTCTTACAGCTGGTAAGCTGCACAGGAGCTTGCCATACTGCAGGCAATCCCCCCTGCCAAGGTAAAACACCAGTACTACCATATTCCCTCTGAAAGGCAGAACTATGACAACACTAGCAACCAGATTTGGGGAATCACCCGTTGTGGTAGCCAGAGGAAACATAGAGGCTGAGTGGGTGTGATGCAGGAGGAAAAGAACAGGCAAGTCAGAAGGCAAGGGATTTGACTTAGGGCAAAGGACTGCAGGATGGGGAGGAGGTGATAAATTTTTATATGGAGGTGTGAAGTTGGTTAAGAACCATCTGCATTCTCATGTGTTCAGACCCTGTCTTGCAGACTGGTTGTTCAAGTGGTGTTTTGCAGATGCATGTGTGTTCTTGCACAGTGATGCTTTACTCAGCAGTATTTTCTTGGCATTTACAGCCAATATTTTCTTCACGTACTATCCTTTTGTTTCCAGCTTAGCAGAATGAGGGTTCTGTTGCAGACTTAGATGTCACAATGGATTTGTGATATAAGCAGAAGTGTGTCAGAATGTGGATGCAATTACAGAGTTACTGGAACGGGCAGAAATAAAATAAAGTGTTTGAGTATTATAATTCAGCTTAATGTGAAGTGCTGTTAGTTTGCTTGTCACTGAATATCCTTTTAATTAAGGAGTCTTGATATCAAAACATGCTGCATTTGGGTAGAGACCAAAGATATATGTCACCATTACTCTAAATTTGTAATGATGATTATAGTAGACAGTCACCTACCTTGTTAGAAAGAGGAAAGCACAGGGCTGCTGAATTAATCAAAATCTGTAATCTTACTCATTAAAAGAACTGTAATATAGTATTTCTAAGCAAATAGACAGATTCCCCTGACAATGTGGGAGTGGAAGGAGCATAGAGGTATCTGTGAGCAAAGATCTACAATGAATTTGTCCTAGACCACTTATCTCATCATTTGAATTACTTCATTTCAGCATACTGAATATGAAGTGGATATCCAATTATTCAAAGGTATTATAACCCATTCCACAGTCAAACAAATCTGAAAAAATCACTTCTGGCTCGGACTTTTCTCAATCAGTACCGCTAAAAATTCTTATTGTACAAGGATAAGTAAGACAATTTCAAGAAGTTGAAAAATATTTGACATTTTCCTTGATGAGCAGCTTATAAATCTGCCTTCTGTCTATTTTTAAGACCTATTTCTGTAGTGTGTGTGAGACTTAAAAGTGTTTGTGGATATATCCTAGCACACTGGCAAAGTAGGAAAATATCATGACTCAGACCCGAGACAAGAGATAAGTCTACACGAGGGGAGGCACGAGTGCCTCACAGGTCTGGTAGCACATGGCCATTTGTCAGCTCACATGATGGTGGGATTCAGGCATGCACCCTGCTCCTCGCAGCCCTCATACACACAGATTCGGGTTTTTGTAGGAAACTTGGATACACAGAGCAGAAGGAAGCTGTGGTGTGCTGATTTGGGATGGAAAGCCAGACCAGGCCACAGAAAGTAATCACCTGGCAAGCCAGGCACAGCCAAAGTTTTTGAGCCATAGACCTGAAGTGACCCTCTAGGTTACAAATTCAGGAGCTCACTATTGTAATCAAAAAAAAAAAAAAAAAAGCTATTTTATTGCATTTGAAGAGGTGACTATACTTTTTTTTTATCAATGACAACTCTTTCAAAGACAGTGGTTCAAGGCTTAATGCTGCTCTGATCTGTTTTCACACTGATTTAAATATACATGCTGTATCCTTCTCTTCTTCCTGTATAACTCCCTCTCATAGGAGCAGAGTCTTGATCTTAAGCTTCCATTGATGAAAATTGTTGAAATTTCCGAGTTTTTATCTTCTGTCCTAATGTTAAGGTACCTGTTTTGGCATATCATCAGGGCCCATTGTCAAGCTTCCAGAAGTTATCCCTCTTTAGTAGTCCCCTGATAAATAGTTTCCTGGCAAGAACTCTAAGCTGTACTTTGCCTTATATTTTTCAACACTTTCTTGTTAGAGTAATTTTTATTCTTCTACAGTTGTCTGTTTCTTTATTCTTAGGTGCAGTGCTTAGAGCCTCCTATAGCTTCCTATGCTTCCTTTTCCTCCTGTGGTCTGACACTATCCAAGGTTACAAGACTGCTTGCAGAGATATATTTGTCTTAAAAAAATGAACATATCCTGTCACCAGGTCCATGGAAGAGATAAGAATTCAGTCTTTTTTTTAAATTAACTTCTCTAACATATTTTGAAAAGAGTTATTGGAAGACTACATGTTAAATTTGTCTTGAAATTCTGCTTTGATCAGCCAAATATACTTTATTCATAGAATGGTCCTCACAACACTCTGTTAAAATTAGGTTTTAAAAGCAATTTTCCAAAGACTATTTGACTTTTTTTGCTCTTGAATTCTACCATCAACTCTTAGAAGAACAAAGCAGAAAGTCTTTTCGTTTTGAAAAATCTCATCTCTGACCACATCAGAAATATGAAATGTTTGGCTTTTTCAAACCCAATTTTCTACTGACTCATACTGCCTACATAAGCAATGAGATACACAAATACATGGAAATATACAAATAAAATACCTCACTTTATTTGGTTCAATTTTAATTCATTTTGTGTGGAATTTTAGGCAAAGGTTCTAATGAGTTAATTTTAAAACAACTTTTCTCCTCACAATTAGTATATTTCACAGTCTTGACTTTGGAATACATTTTTTTTCTCAATACATCCCTTTCCTGGCTGTGAAGAATTAATTCTTTAAACTATTTAGTAGGCAAATAGTCTGTGACTTAGAACAGCCAAATCATTTTCACTTGTGGATTTGAACTCACAGACCAGATTCATCAACAGGATGAATTTCTATATTTCTATATTTCAATTTTTAACAATTTTCATATCTATAGTCATTTAACTTTAAAAGATGATAAATAATGGATAGTTCTAGTGATGTCTGTTAAATAAATTCCATAGGAACAGAAAACAAGAACTTCACCACTGGTGAATTACACTATTGTTTACATTTAAATATGTTGTCTTAAAAGGATAAATTAGATCATTATTACCAAAACTATTAATGATTTATTAGTATTTTTATCATAAAAAAATAGAAATACTCATGTTTTGTTAAGAAATGGAAAGGTCTGTAGTAGATGCTGCTTGTTTTGTTAGCCTAGTTTTGTCTCCACAGGTAAAATGCAAAACCAATGAATTTCATCTTCTGTTCTTGATTGAAAAATACTCTACATATTTTTATGGGACCAGAAAATTTCATGCCACATTTCATTTATTGTTTCATAGTATTCACATGGCATTGCATGTTAGGGAAAACTACATAGACCTACCTCTTCCTACTTCTTGGATTTTGTACATAAATTACTCAAATTTTAAGTTGTTTAGATAGTTTTTTCTTCATACTCTGTATTCACGTGTTATCCACCACATCTACATGGAATGCTGCTACATACAGCAAATTAAAGATTCATCAGAAATAAGTTACACAAGTAAGTAAATAACTACAGCACTGCTCAGCAATCATACATTTCTCTTTGCACATCAGAAACATCTCCCCTCTCCATGTGTTTATTTGCTTGGTCCAGTCTTAACCAGTCTCTGCAGTATGTTACCCTCAGTAGGCAAAGTGTGCCTGATAAATAAGTGACACCAATGACCCCTGGAGTATGAGTTTCAATAATTTTGGATCATGGAAAGGCTTTTTTCTGCCTTTTCAGAAGCTTTGACACTTCTCTCTGCATTATCAAGAGCAGGCAAATAGCCAGTGCAGCACATTACCTGTACAAGAGTAAAAGCAATGCACACCAGCAATGATGGCATTGCAAAGGGTCCTGAAAGCTAAAACAGTGAGAGATCTACAAGATCTCACAGAAACCTGTGTGGCCTGAGCCTCAAGTGTCTCTGTCCATCCTGAGGCATCTATGTGATTAATGTGCTCCTAACAGCACCATATATCACAGCTGTCATAAGAAAGGTCAGCACCTGCGTGAGTGCTGCTCAAAAGAAGCAAGTCTCCTGTACATGAACTACTTGTTGATACAAACAGTGTCAGAGCATGTGGACTGTAAATGCTGTGTTCTGAGAAACCTCTGCCACCTTGGATTTCACACAGGGATCAACAGCACATCTGTTTTTAGAACTACGCACAGGTCTGTCCTGGCTCATCTCAAGCTCTCCCCCTTTGCCTTGCTTCCCTGAAAAAGTTCTTTCAGACTATTAAAATGCAGAAAGAGCTGGACCTTGTGCATACCTTAAACACACTTGAGAAGGAAATTACTTTGAAGCCCAATGTTAATCTGTAAGGCAAGTAAAGAAATAAATCAGTTTCAAGTCTTGGATGAGACCAAATTAACTCAGTTCAAGTATTCCCAAGACTGTTCAACAGACTAAGAAAACAGAAGGAATCCTATTTAATTAGGTTGAAGAATGGTGCTCGGACTTTTGTATTCACTGTGCCTAAAACTACTTCATCTAATGAAAAACCCAAAACCAAGTTTCACTTATGAGTTACTGATTCAGGTGATAAACCTGTCAGTGAAGTATTCCTGGCTAGTGGGATGAAGACCCGTGGACACATTTCCATTTGTGTCAAACTTCTGGAGTTCCACAAGCCTTTAGAAAAAAACATTTCTCCATGCTGAGTGTCAAGCAGTCAGAGAACAAAGTAATGCCTAGCTGTGTTTAGGGAAGCACCACATCTTTGGGTACCATGTTCATTATTCCATTTGAGAAACATATATTCAAAAACTTCTGAGATATCTTGACTATTCAGAGGAGAAGATGATCCAGATTTTGGTGGCCCTGGAACAGTTAATCACAAAAGGATGGTGAAATAGTCCATGACTTTACAGCGTATAGTCAAGACCCATGACAATAGTCTTCTCAGAGCTTTACAAATATTTGAAGATATAAGATCAATTTTGAATATGAAAAAAACATGCATTAGAAAAGATGTCATAATTATTCAACAGATTTACTCTGACTTGTGGTTCACCTTAAGGGGAAGAGACTGTTGTGTGTGTAACACAGGGTAGAAGATGTAACATCCACTATGGATCTTGATCATGGTCCAGCACAGAGGTACTCACAAATACAAAATCCTGCTCTGACCAGAGGATTTGGATATTTTCACTATTAGTCAGAGGGCTCTCTAAATCTTTTGAAACTAATTATAAACATATTTTGCCACTGAAGCATAACAACACCTACATGTTCAATAAATGGCTTGTGTCTTGAGGCACTCCTTCACTATCTTCCAGATCCTGGGGAGATTTTATTGAAACAAGTGCTCTGTCAAGACTTCCCATTTTAAGAAGATTGCTGGCACATGTGGGATGTTATTGGCATACAGCATTTCAGTTCTTGCAAAGAATTTCAGCCTTCTTCAGCTACTCAAGAGCAGGCATTCCTGCTCCTGCAAGTCTA